CAATCCACTTATTTACGATCGGCTAGATAATATAACGATAATATAATTACACTACTCAGCATTTGAATCTACAAGGTCCCTGTGGATCGATATCCGGAACCACTGTTCTGCAAAATGCGATACCGTATACTTGCGGTAATTTATACGTGAGGAAAACGCGTATCATGACATTACATACAAGCACCAAATGCGCCATAATAATCCAGGTATCGATTATTTTTATGTTGTTTTACAATTTTTAAGTTTTATTTTTCCATTTTGTGAACGCATTTGTCTTACAAATTATACCTTTTGCAGGTTTGACTCTATCAGATGATAGTTTGAAGAACTATGCGTTGATTGAAATCGAGAAAATCCTACAAAGCAACGGCAAGAGCTTGCGGAATTTTGACTCTATGCCAATGCCACTACATCCGTCGAATGACACAGAGAATCGATTAGTGCTCGATGAGTTGGACTACGACGTCTTTGAGTTGGCTGAAGAACTGAAACAATATCTATCTTCTATCACAGACGAGCAGAGAAAGGTTTACGATACCATCACGGATGTTGTATCGAAAAATAGCGGCGGGATGTACTTTCTCTACGGTCACGAAGGAACATGAAAGACATTCATATGGAGAACGTTGTCCACTGCAATTCATTCCATGGGAGAAATAGTTCTTAATGTTGCTTCGAGTGGCATAGCAAATTTGCTGCTTCCCGGTGGCCGAACCGCTCACTCCAGATTTGGACTGCCCATCATTGTGCACGATGGTTCCACCTGCAACATTACACAACAGAGTCCGCAGGCAGAATTGCTTATAAAGTCGAGACTTATCATATGGGACGAGGCCCCGATGATGCATAGATACTGTTTCAAAGCGCTAGACAAGACGATGCGATCTATCACGCATGTTCCCAAACCGTTCGGCGGCAAGGTGGTCGTTCTTGGCGGAGACTTTAGACAGATTTTACCTGTTGTGCTGAAGGCATCAAGGCAAGACATTGTTCACGCTACGATCAACTCATCTCAGCTTTGGAAAGACTGTACGGTTCTTAAGTTGCATATGAATATGAGGCTTCAATCAAGCTCTAATCCATCTGAAGTTGAAGAAATAAAGGAGTTTGCTGATTGGATACTGAGTATCGGTAATGGGGAGGCGGGAGAGCATAACGATGGTGAAGCGTCCGTTGAGATTCCTGAGGACATGCTAATTCCCGATTGTGAAGATCCATTATTGGAGCTATTGCAATTTGTGTATCCGAATTTGTTGAGTAACATATCAAATCCAGATTATTTCCAAGGAAGGGCAGTGCTTTCACCGACTAATGACTGTGTGGAGTCTGTCAACGACTACTTGTGTTCTCTACTACCCGGCGAAGAGAAGTTGTACCTTAGCGCGGATAGTATGTGCAAGGATGAGTTGAATTCAGAAGAAAATGCTGAAATATATTCGACCGAATTTCTCAACACCGTGTCTTGCTCCGGTCTCCCTTCACATAGGCTGAAACTGAAGGAAAATGTTCATGTTATGCTTATACGAAACATCGACCAGGCGAGAGGCCTTTGCAATGGAACCAGACTTCAAGTTGTTAGGATGGGAGTTCATGTTCTTAGTTGCAAGGTTCTATCCGGTAAAAATATCGGTGATGTTGTTTTCATTCCTCGGATGACGTTGGTCCCATCGAACTCTACTTTGCCCATTAAGTTCCAGAGGCGACAGTTTCTGTTGATGGTTTGCTTTGCAATGACCATCAACAAAAGTCAGGGTCAAACACTTTCTCATGTCGGTTTGTATCTACCCAAACCTGTATTCAGCCACGGTCAGTTGTACGTTGCACTATCGAGAGTGAAGAGTAGATCTGGCATAAAGATCCTAATAAAGTCTGAATCCGGTGAATCATCGAGTTCTACTAGCAACGTGGTGTACAAAGAAGTATTTCAACGTATATGAAGGTATATATCATGCATGCCATCCATTATTCGACTTATTATCATATTTTGTCTTATTAATGTATGTATGTGCTCTCTATCTTTAGGCAGTGTTCTAAAAATCGGCCGAGGCGGCCGATTAATCGGTCGCCGAGGCGGAGGCGGTCCAAAACCTTTACGATTTTAGTGTAAAGGTTTGAAAAATCGGTTTTTTGCATGTGAGGCGGTTTGAGGCGGTCTGAGGCGGTCCGAGGCGGTCTGAGGCGGTCAAACCTTTAAGGCGGGTCAAACTTCGGTGGCAAAAATCGGCAAAAAATCGGTCAAAAATCGGTTTTTTTTTTTTTTTTTTTTTTTTTTTTTTTAATCAAAATAAAAGTTGGGATTTTAATAAAAAAAAATGAGTTTATGCTTTATTTTGTTTATGTTAATTATTATTGTTAAAGAACAAATGATGTATGCCAAGAGTGTATGTAAATTCAAAAAAAATTGCCTTTTTATTTATATTTTATAAGGATATTTATGTATTATGATCTTATTATTATAAACTTTTATTATGTTATTAGAATATATACATGCTCGAGATATAACTATGTTTAAATATTTTTTATCTTTGTTTTGAGTATTTATAAATAATATATACAAATATATTATTTTAAATTTTAAAAACCGATTTATTTCCGATTTATCACCGATTAATCACCGCCGCACCGATTAATCGTGAGTCGGTGCCTGACCGACTCGGACCCGATTACCGATTTTTACAACCTTGTCTTTAGGTATGTTTGCAAGTCATTTTTTTGTCTAGCATATCCGGTATAGTCGCTTTTGGTAAGTACTATAATCGAAATATTATTTAATTACGCACTGATTGTTGTTTAAGTAATGCACTGTATTCTTGCAAAATACGAAAACTTTGCAGGTTAACTGCTATGTACTGTTTGATCTGTGGAGATAGAGCAGTGGATTTGATTCCATTAGTTTTAGTTAGTTCTAGAATTTTCGTTGCAAGACATGTCGAACGGAATATGTTATTCATTTTTTTTTATAAAATTTCAACTTGCTTTGGGACCGATTTTTTTTTTCATCCAATATCTTAACTTATATTAGTTTTATATTTAAGTTAGAATATTAATTTTTTCTGACCCTAAATTGTTGAATATCAATTTTATTCTTGAAGGTGATCCCCGTGCATCGCACGGGTGAGATACTAGTTGTTGTAAAATTAGAACAAATCTTGTACAAATATAAAATTAGTCAAATAGGAAAGATTCATTCATGAATCTCATATATAAACGAATGTAATAAACTCGACGAGGGTCACGTTTTCTAGGACAATCAATAATACACTTTACATTCTCTCTTGAATTCTCGCTTTCTGTTTATTATTTTTCCGTCACTTGTTCATTTCCGCCAGCCTTAGGTACGGGATCGAGTGAGCTCTACGACGACCGAGTTTGGGACCAACAATGCATTCACTCCTTATATATGGAAATTAAACCTTCAATGTTTAAATTATTTCATTACTTACAAACAATTCGATACTAAAAATGTTAATAAAAAAAATATTGATTTATTTAGATTTTTATTTAGGGGTAATGGCAAATAGGCCCATGACAAGAGCACTTAATTAGAAGAGGGATATCCAACTTTTTTGTCTTTCAAATAAATCCACCCCATTCAAACTTATTTGCAAATAAGGAAAATCCCTTTATATATACCAAAATTACCCCCAATTCATTGAAACTCAATTCAACTTCAATTTCATGATTTACACCCCAATTTAGCCCAATTTCATCAATTAACCAATTTTAACCCTAATTTCAATTTTGACCCCAATTTTAACCCTAATTCTTATCAATTCCACCAATTATGCTCTAACTTCCTTAATATTACACATTGACCCCGGATTTAAACAAATATATTACATTAACCCCCCAAATTTTTTTTTTCAGAAAATATTTTCTTTTTCTGAAATGTTTTTTTTTCCGGCCAGATTCCGGCGTTGACTTTTTTTTTTTTTATAATTTTATTTTTTCTTAAAAAAAAATTTTAATTAATATTACTGTCTTGGCTCCTAAATTACTGTCTCCGGCAGTTATTTAACTGTCGGAGACAGTAATGTAACTGTTAATTGACTTTTTTTTTCTTCAAAAATATTTTAATTAATATTTACTGTATTCGTTGCTAAATTACTGTCTCCGGCAGTTATTTAACTGTTGAAGACAGTGATTTAACAGTTAATTGACTTTTTTATTCTTAAAAAATATATTTTTAATTAATATTATTGTATCCGTTTGCTAAATTACTGTCTCCAGCAGTTATTTAACTATCGGAGACAGTAATTTAACTGTTAATTGGCTTTTTTTCATTTTTTTTCTTAAAAAAAATATTTTAATTAATAGTACTGCCTTATATGCTAAATTACTGTCTTCAACAGTAATTTAACTGTCTTAGACAATAATATTAATAATATTACTGTTCGGAAAAATAATATTCATAATATTACTGTTTGGAAAAAATAATATTCATAATATTACTGTCCCAAACAGTAATATTACTGTCTGAGACAGTAATTTAGTAGCTAAAACAGTAATATTAATTAAAATATTTTTTTCTTCTAAGAAAAAAAATTCAAAAAAAAAAAAAAAAAAAGTCAACGCCGGAGACCGGCGGTCAACGGTGGTTGACCGACCGGAAAAAAATTCAGGAAAAAAAAAAGTCAACGCCGAAGACCGGCGGTCTCCGGCGGTCGAGGCCGGAATCTGGACATTTCAGAAAAAAAAATTATTTTCTGAAAAAAAAGTTTTGGGGGTTAATGTGATATATTTGTTTAAATCCGGGGTCAATGTATAATATTAAGGAAGTTAGATCATAATGGGTGGAATTGATAAGAATTATATTATTGAGGGTATTTTAGACTAAAGACATGGGAATGGGCTTAATTGAGAGACTGTTTTTTTTGTTGACCAAAATGCATTTAAATCCCATGTGATGGGCCTTTTTGCCATTTGCCCTTTTATTTATTAAAACTAAAATTAGATCAGAATTGGCATCCCGTACTACAAATATGTGAGCAATTATTTTAAGTTATAACCCTCATTATATAAATAATAAAACTTTTTTTAAATACAAAAAGTCTACAACAAACCAAGTTATTCTCACATACAACAAAAATCTTGCAAGAAAAACTGCAACATTATACAACAAGTTCATAAATAAATAAATAAACCTCCACAAAACACATAATTAAAGAAACCCCCTATTTATTTCCTTGTGACATTATAATCAATCTCAACCTTTGATAAGCATCGAAACACGAATGGGCATAGTCGGAAAGCGCCCTAAAAAGCTCGGGCAAACGAATCTTCAAACTCCCGAGCGACTTCTCCCTCACCTGAACACACATCTTTTGATGCTCCTCCATTTCTTCGTCTAACCTCTTCTTCAAACTATCCACCACAAACTGCCTCTCCGAGACGGGGTCCTTCACCCCCTTATCAGGGTCGTTTTCGTCATTTTGCCCCGCCCTCCTCTGCATGTACTTTTGGTACCACTCTTCGAAAGACTGCTTCTTCCGATAGTACTCCCTCCTCGTTTCTTCGTACTTCTCCTTCATCTTCATTTCTTCCTCTTGATGAATGCCTATTGTTTTAATCACGGCAGCAAAAGACGAAATAGCCGTTTTTGCCACCTCATCGGGGAGCTTCTCGAGGAGGTCGTGCCATGATCGGAGGAGGGGGTGGATTGGGGGGGTGGGGGTGTGTGGGGGTGAGCTGACTTTTTCCTTTAGGCTGCTCTCGATTGGGATGAGGTTTAGCTTGAGCCAGCTGTTGAGGGAGTTGATGTACTGTTTTTGGTTGTTGACGAGCTTTTCGAATTGGGAGTGCCACTGGTCGACAACTGCCGACAGCTGATTCGTCCGCTCGTGGTGGTGTTTTGTGGTCTCGATGAGGGACCCGGAGATCTCGAGTGATTTTAGGTTCGAGACTATGCTGAGCTGGCTGTCGTGGTGCGTGCACATTGATTCCCACATCTTTGTCATCCTTTTCAAGAATAGGGAGGGGGGAAAAATCATATGTGTTCTTTTAGTGACTAAATAAGGTGAAATTACGAAAATAACCTTTGCATGAGCATAATTACAATTCCGCAATCAAGAACTGAGAGAAAAATAATCATGTGTTCGTTTAGTGATACTAAATCGTAACAATAAGCGTATAATATAGGGTTTATTGTATTCGGCACCCCTGTGTTTTTAGTCTAATTGTTAAAAAACTCCCCACATTATTATTAATAGCATAAACCCCGATATGGTCCAATTTTATTAGGAAACTTCCCCCTAAAACGCACCATTCAGGGGGTTGTGTGCTAAAAAAATGCATCATAGGGGGTTTTGTGCTAATATTTATAACACAAGGGAGTTCGTTAGCAATTCGGTATACCACGGGGGGGACTAAATGGTCATACAATATAAGGGACTTTTACTCTTTCGGGTAAATTACAACTTAACCGAAACCTAAGGTAAGGCCAAATCGCACGCCAAATTACGAGGAAAAGAAAACGAGGTATATATCGGCTTACATTTCACCCCTACACGAATATTCTGTTAAATATTTACGATTCTACCCTTGTATATGAAACAAACATATTCAACGAGTAAAGAACAGTTATAAACGGGAGGAACTTACCCTTGAACGAGAGACACGAGTTTAGGAAATAACTGCTTGTCGCGTATATCATTCACTTCCGATACAGTCGAATCCAATGATTGCATATCCACTATATACCTTGTATGCAAATGGCTAACAGCAGCTTTCGCTTTCTCTAGTTGCTCCGAACTTGCATTACGTTTTTTCAGTCTGTTCAGCATCGCCACCTTTCTTTGATATTCAAGTTTCATTAGCTCCCCTGCCTATATTATTAGAACAAACACAGTTTACAAGATAAATTTATTACTTTCCACTGATATTCTCAAATTGCAATTCGACTAAATACAAAAGAAATAAATAAATAAATAAAAATTGGACCTTGACTTCTTCGTAAAGTTTTTTCTCCCAAGCTAGCAACTTATCTAAAACGGTGGCATGTGTTTCGTAATCTTCTGGATCGAAATTATCTTTAGCACCATCACCATTAGGAACTCCTCTGAAAGACTTGTTCCATGTAATAACTTGCATTACCCTTGCTGCATGGTTTATGTGTCCTAAAGTACAAGAATCATAGCAAATTAATTAATTAAATAACTAAAAACACAGATTTAACATGAAAAAATAAATGTAGTAACAAATTGTTCCATGATCAAATAATTAAATAACTTTCGCTATAAAATTCAATGTTCACTATATATATCATTAAGCCAATAAATACACTACAAAAACTACAAAACTCACCTCGATTATCCGCAAAATTCGAATGGTAGTGCAATCTCGTAGCTTCGAGCATAACGGAACCTCCAGCGCGCTTTGAGAGCCTAAGGAAATGATCATCAATCTCACTCAAAATATTCAACAAATCACACCGTTGTTTTTCCCCACCGCGCTAGCGGCAGCTCTACCCATTGCCGGAGGAGCCGTATTCGAATGCAGAAACTGCTTCTCGGCGGCACCACCACCCACCGGAGTATCCTCCGGTGTCTTAAACTCCTCAATACCCTCGAACCCCACTTGCTTCTCCGGCGTTCTAAACTCCATATCTCCACCACCACCACCACCACCAACATTGCCAAAATTTCCAGTTACACCCTCCACATAACCTTCCCTTTCCTCCTCCACCTCGTCCAAATTCGGCCTCTGCATATTATCCATAAAGAAATAATCCCACGCCATTCCCCTATTCTCCGGTGGGGTCGCCGGATTGGGCGGCGGTCTAATCGGCGTCACCACCTCCTCAGCCCCTTTCTTCCTCCGGCGAAACCCTCCTTTCTCCTCCTCCTCCTCCTCCTCCTCCTCCTCATCCTCATCTTCTTGTTCGTAAACATCACTATCATCAACCGCAATGCCTTTCTTCTTGCCCTTCATATTCTCCGACAGCGCAGCTGGCATTGTAACAGCCCGTTTAAGTGGGGGCATAGGGGAGAAGTTCGGGAGGGGCGGAGGGGGTGGGGGGAGGCTGGACTCCATGGGCGGCGGAGGCGGAGGCGGCGGTGGGGGACGTTCTGAAACGGTGGGGTCCAGTGGTGCCACGTCATCAGGTGGGGGATGGGGGACCTCCCCTTGAGCGTAATCGCTCAATGCCGCTCCGGTATCTTTAAGAGATACAGAATAGCCGGAGTGGGCTGATGCGAATGCATTTCTCACAGAAACAGCATCTTTCATTAGATTCCTCCTCTCTTTACATCTAGAAACCGATTCTTCATTTTCTATTTTCGATTGGGCACACCCCATTTTTTTTAATTTTTAATTTTTGTGTACAGACAACAACAAAAAAAAAAAAAAACGGAATCTTTCTCGATTATTACTTTTCAGAACTTGAGATACAGGAAATTAAATTACTAAATGCACACCTTCTATCGATTATTTTTTATTAGAACTAGAAACAGAAGAAATTAAATTACAAAACTGTAAAATCAGCGAAAAATAAGGGTTTGAAGCAAAAAGAGGGGTTTCGTACACGGAGGATGAAAACGGCAGCTATAAACATCACCTGTGCGGAAACTCCGACCAGCTTCCTTTTCTTCCTTCAAGAGGTGATGTGTAGATACAAGTGGACTGTATCTATATATATATATGTAAATAAGATTAAAATTTCTGTAATTGATAATTTTCTCTCTCTAATTTTTTCTAACCCCTTTTTGAGAAGGGTGGATGAGTGATGAATGCTGGTGAGGAGGAAAAGGAGAAACAGACAAATTTTGTGCAGGAGACAGTGCACTGAGCAGTACAGAGCGGCACGAAGAGAGAGGGGGTGGGGGGATTGTCTACGGTACCGGGTCCTGCAGTTGTGTGCTTTTTCAATTGTGTGAAACCACGACTTTATAAGTAGAGGAGAATTCAAAATGGGAGCTGTAACGGTCACACTAAACGAGGTGGGAACGACGTCGTTTCGGTACTATTTGGTCATTTAATTTTAATCGTTTCCACAATTCACAAGGGTATAAAATGCACTTTGCACCCCCTGTACTATCCAAAAAGGCATTTTCACCCCTTTATAGTATCGAAAACTACAAAAAGAACCCTTCTGTTAGCTATTCCGTCAGTTAAAGTTAACATAACTACATCAACTTACTGTGGACATTTTTACCCTTTTACCATACTATTACATAATATATATGTATAGAAATTCAATAAAATATATACAGTATAAGTTCTATTAATTTATAACATGACAAAAGAATAAACAAGATTAAAAATTAAAAATACTTCTTATAAATATGAAAATTATAAAACTGTAATAATTGAAATTTCAAATATTTTATATTATTATTATTATTATTATATTATTTTAATTCGACACAACACGAAGCAAGCCACAAGAACTCGATCAAAACCGATTTGATTGTGTGTCATAGACTTGTATCCAAACATTTCATAAGCTCGTAAAATTATTTTTGCTTGCTTAATTTAAGGATTTGAAAAAAAAAACATTTTTTTTTTCTTTTTACAAGTGAATTTATTTTCCCTCCTATAGGCATATCGGCCCATGAATTAATTATATATACGTCCCAAATAGATTTTGAGCATGACAATAGTCACAAATGGGCTCATATGCCTAAGCCCATACAACTTCGATATTTTTTTTTTTAATATATAATTTTCAACAATATTAAAAATTTTGAATTAGCTAGATTGGATGCGGAATAACAAAGTTATGCATGAATTATATATATTAAATTTTTAGATAACTCATAACATCAAAATTGAGTAAACTGCAAAAACTACCCCTGTGTAATCTTGAAATAGCAAAAACCCCCCTGTGATAAATAAACTAGCAAAAACCCCCCTGTGAAATTATTTAAATAGCAAAAACCCCCCTATGGAACTATTTGAGGGTTGACTTGATATAAAAAGACACAAATACCCCTGGAGTCTTGCAATTAATAAATTCTTATATTTTATAAATATTTTAATTATTTTATTTAAAAAATAATCAATTTAGTTGTTTACTATTTTTTTTAATTTCTAAACAAATAAATTAAAAATAATAAATATACATATAATATGTATATATATAAATACATTTTGAGGGACAATTTTGTCATTTCAAGTCTAAAAAATCAGCTAGGGGGGATTCTGTCTTTGACTAAATTTCACAGGGGGGTTTTTGCTAGTTTATTTATCACAGGGGGGTTTTTGCTATTTCGAGATAACACAGGGGTAGTATTTGCAATTTACTCCATCAAAATTGTATACCGTGTTTATTAGTTCATGCATATATTTATCACCCGACATCCAATCTTGATGATTCAAGTTGGATTAGAAAGTGGATTCCGAGAACTACAACTTTCGAATCTGTTCAAATTGTAATTACCTCCATAAACTATGTATTATCTGATACATCCACCCTTACGGTGTTAACGTATGACAACATAATTAAAAGTAGTAGTTGTAATTACCAAATAAAATAGGTTTTTTTTTTGCAATTTAATCATACATCAGTTGTGACTGTAATTTGCCGTATTTTTTTATACAATCCTCACCACAATATTTGCATCTTCAAATGTTTGCAAGCATATTAAAAAGACTAATAAGTGTACACTTATTAAATTCATCAATCATCACAAATAGAATATTCCAAACGAGCTAAATGTGATTAAATAAACACACATTAATTTAATTAATTCACTATCTATTCTAATTACACCTTAAAAGTGTTGGTCAACACCACTATACTTCAATTCCACACACACACACACACACACACATACTATATATATAATTATATATACACCCCCACTCCCATTACTTCGTTTTATTGCAAAAAAATCAATTATTCTATTTTCTCTTCATTATTTTATTTTATTTAATCATTTCTCACTATATTACATATTTAAAAAACACACACACACACACATATATATATGGTTCCTTCGATGCTACACCCGGTGAAAAACACCGGGTGGGTCTTCTGCTGCCACGTGTTCTTTTTTTTTATTTTTCTAAAACCCCTAAAG